TACTTGAGCCCACCAAATATGATCTCAATAGGTGGAACATATGTAGTGATCTAAAGGTTGTTGAAGAATGGGTATACCAAACATTCTTGCTTTTTGTGTCTCTGTGACAGCTGAGATGATAAAAATAATTTCAAAAAGAAGGAATGGCCAATGAGAGAGAATTACATACCAGGAAAATAGAATATTGAGTATCAACCTTTGGTAGATCCTCAAATTGTCTTTCTGCCCCACTTCATGTTTAACTGGGACTCATGAATAATTTTGTAAAAGGAATGAACAATGATAATAATGGTTTCCAAAAAATCAGTGAAGCAAAAATGAAAGGTGGTATCATTCTTGGGTCACATATTCGAAAAGTGCTGATGGATGATGATTTTGAGACAGTACTCAATCAAAAATAACTTCTGGCCTGGAAACATTCAAACTGGATGTCAAAAACTTCTTAGGAAATCACAGAGATGAAAAATATGCAGTGATAATTGATGATATGCTTGAGAACTACAGGAAAATGGGGTCTAGAATGTAATTAAAGATGCACTTCTTACACTCACATTTAGACTTTTTTTCAAATGCTCTATGAGCAGTGAGCGCTTCCACCAAAATATTTCACCTTTATGTAAGGTCAGCAATATACATACAGTAAATTATTTTACATTGTTATGAATCCCTCAACATAAGCTTCTGACTATTCACTAAAACATTGAAACCAATTGTTCGAAACGAAAATAGATATTTTTACTGGGATTCTGGCAAATATTGCCAACAAAACTATAAATGTATGAGAATTTTCCAAGGCTCTAAACAAATTTAGGTCTACAAAACATTATGGAATTCTTAAAATGCTGACTGAAGGATTATCAGTTTCATTTGTTTAACTTTAGCATCTTAAGGAGATTAACATCTCAACATATATCTTTTCAAAGTCGATTACATCAACATTTTTTGTCCATATTGACCAATTAAATTTGAACACATTGGAAATCTCACTATGTCCCAGTACGTTTAGTCCTGGAACTTGGCATATTGGTTAAGTACAAGCTATAAACAAAACAACACAACAGGGTATTAAGACCAACTGTACAAAACGAGACACACAAAAAAGGAGTTGTTGTTCCAGTTGCATGTATAAGACACATCTAGAAAAGAGGATAATTAGATCTCTTGTATATGACTTTCTTAGTTTGAATAACTTGTTTTGTAAAGAAGTAGGGTTCTTAATGATGCTCGTAGTCATATATCTTAAAATTTCTTCTTAGTTTCTCTCCCAATGCTTTGATAAAGATACAACAATTTTTATTACTAATCGTGGCTGAGAGTTAGTTGTTCCTAACAAAAACTTCTTAAAACCTTTTTCATTTCTTATGAATTCAATCAATGCATCATATTTTTTGATACTCTGACTTCAGAAGATACGCAAAAATAATTGTGACTGCATACACTACGAATGGAACGCACATGCCACAGAGTAAAAATATACGCCAACTTTATGTGCTCATGAGTGAGCACGAAATGGAAATAAAAAGTTTTTAATAATAACTTGCCTGCTAAAGTGTCAAATGCTAATGTTAAGAGTCACAACTTGGAAAAACCTGAATACGTAAAGAAAAAAGGGAAATGCAGGAAATCGACGCTGATATAACTAACTCACTCTAAGGTATTACTCAGAACATCGGATACAACATATACAAATCCCGAGTTTCATGAAGACAAAAACTAAATTTAAATCAAGATAACTGATATATTAACAAGATAATTAAAAACTGTTAATTCAAAAAGGGGTAACAGGGATCGTCAAAAAAGTACAGAAACAAGTTGAACCAAAATACAAAGATTATATTTTCAAGTCTACAACTAGGGACTCTAAAAGAAGCAAACAAACTACGTCCATTTATGGAGAATAGATTGTACGCTACATAGATACGTATTTATGTATATTCAGTTGAATGTTACATGTTTTTTAACAGTTTACTGCTGCATTGGCTTTATTTCCACCCAACCATTATTTACTGAGCCAGGTGGTTTTAGACCTGAGGTTTCGTGTAAACACGCGTTTAATTAGAGTCAAGTAGAAAGGAAGTCGCTCACAACAACATCGCATATACTATGTATTTATAGTCACGTAAATCAACTTTCAAGGGAGAATAGTCAGCTTTTTAAATAGATCATGGACATTCGCAACTTTTCATGTAGCATATCTGTCTAGATTTTGGTGCAAAATACCTAGCCGATTTTGACGTAGGCTTGTGAAACAATAATAAAATGATACTAAAATACACAATTTCAGCGAAGTACGAACATCAGTAGAATAAATCACCTCTCACAAGAGTAGAGAAATCTACTATGGTAATCGTCTACTGTTAGAAAACGCACTGGAATAGTCGCAGAAAACCACGTATAATCAAAGTGCAACAGAACTCGAGAAATGATGAAGAAGAGCAAACTCGAGAAACGGTGAATCTTCCACGTGGCAGTTTTCAATTAATGCGCTATAAGTTGCACAAGTTATTTTCCAATTAATGCGCATTAGTAAAACACCGGATTTTTTCAATGGCAGAAAGTGAAGGACTTAGCGAAATTCTTCAAGGCGAAAAAAAAAGGTGCTTGTATTAATTTCAAAACTATCCTATGACATACTCATTACTGCATTCATTACTACTGTCCAGGTTTCAGTAAAAATATTCGTAGCAGTTTTTCTATAGCGGTTTGTAAAACAGAGCATTTCCGACTAGTATAATGGTGCTTGAATGGCTTCGAAGAGTTAATGTTGGTAGCAAAGAATAACTTAGAAAATTTCAGAGGGTGGAAATCTCGACTTTCAAGTATCAACTTAAAAATAGTCATACAACATTCGCAGGGGTTTGTTTAGTAGCAGTATACTTAGCTGTTTTTGCTGTAGGCTTCGGTGCTAGAATGTGTGTGTGTTTGTTTTATAACATATATTTGTTGTCCACCACCGGGAATTGAACCCCCGGATTTTAGCGTTGCAAGTCCGTAGACCTACTGTTGTCCTACTTGGGGACCGGTGTTTGAATGGCTTCGAAGAGAAACTTGGCCAATAGCGATGTAAACAAACTGATAAAATCTCTCATTCTCTTTCAAGAATTAACATAAAAATAGCCCCATGACCTACGCAGGAGTTTTATTAATAGGTTTGCTCAGGTTTGAATAAAATATTCCTAGCCGTCGTTTTCTGTAGGCTTGTGAAACAAGAATAATATGAATAATAATAATATGAAAAACAAATGGATGAATTTTGAATTTTGTCTAACAATCGGATAATCAACTTTTTCTCGATTATCAATACTTTTGCCAATATGATCTATTAGAATTTTTGTGAACTTCCTAGGTGATCCATATTATGAATAATTATTTTCAGTCGAAATAGCTAAATTTATTCAATTTTTTGTATTCTTCCCTGCACAGGATATTCTGTTGATTAATAGTTTTTGTTTTTAGAGCAAAGTATAACGTTTGTTCGAATGGGTTTTTATTCTTATTGTTTTGTTCAAGAGGAAAGAAGTTATATTCTCATTTTGATAAAATAATAATATGCCATTTTACAAAGTGAATATCATTTAACAGTATATTCATAGCTGCTGTAAGATGTGAAATTCTCGTAACAGCAAACACTGACACCTAGAAATGCTATTATTTTATTTAAGATGACACTGTATTTGATATTGACAAATAAAACAATATTAAAAAATCATGTTAATTATCATGTATGCACTTTCATGATTTATAAAAACATTACTGTAATAAAGCTGCATACATTATATTTTCTATAGCATAATACTAGAATCAGAAAGTTTAATGTATTTATGTACTGATATAATAACTACTAAAATAGAACTTCTTTGAATATTCAGAAAACAAACCCCAGATATCTGACTCTCTTTCAAACTAAGTATCTGATTTTATCGGTTCCTTGAAGACCACAGAAGAGCAGATAGAATATGAACAAACATATGCAGAACAATGTTTTTTACACCTTTTTGTCATAAATCCACATGAAAAATGTGATAATTTTAACAATAAGTTGTCGATCTCGGCAATGTTCTATCCCCCCCCTCCCATCTACCTATCTCCAAATGTCATCCTTTTCTCAACGAAACAGGAAGGGTAATATTCGTAATTTTTCAAATATCCAAAGTAAATGAAAGTTCATATAGCGACTTGGGAGACTTAGGAAAATGAAACATGTGATAAAAATTAAAGAAGTAACAAGTGATACGTGAATAGAAGAAAAACTATAAAAACATTTTGTAGAGAACAAGCATATATAAAATAGAAAATGTGGGAAACATATCGGAAAATACAACACATGAAAAGAAAATTAATATTGTATGGTTGCAAAACATTATGGTAGAATAAGGAAAAGGAAGACATATAAATAAAACATGAAGTACATAGTTTAATAAAACTACAAATTTACGAAACTTATAAGTATAGAAAAACAGTAGTAAAAAAAATTGAAAAAATAAATAAAAAAAAGAAAAGGTAATTAAAAATTTAAATATAAACACCACATAAAAATGAAAATACAGATTGTAAAATAATAAAAGTATAACGTACAATAAAAAGAGAGGCAGGAAAAAAAACATTATCCAAGACCGAAAATTCTAAATAAAAATTAAGAATTAGACAATGATAACAAGAATTGAAAATTTGAAATAAACAATTACAACTTTAACCGCAACTAGATACGACACTCTAGAATAGCAATGTGAGTTTAGAGACGAATAATTTGGAAACATTTCGATGAATGAAATGTAATGTGAGATGAAGAAGAAATTAGAAACTAAACAACAACAATGAAAAATTAAATGCACTTGAAGAAATTAATTTCATTCACTCCTGGCACAGATAGGTCATCAAATTCAAGCTGTTTTGTAGTTTATTTAGCTTATTCACTATTTTGATAAATCTGTAATTCAGAAAGTCGTAAAATTTTTTGGATTTTCCTACATCTGAACTATAGAAAGAAAACGAATACTTACTCATCCGTATGGCAGGATCGTGCCGAACCTGGTGAGGAGAAGGGAAAATGTTCATTTACTGCTACTGCACTTGCTCTAAGACTGATATGTTTTGATTTGTAGGATGATTAATTAGGTGTTATAGAATGAAAATATATCTTTTTACCTCTAGTACCACAAAGAGAATTTTATTTTCTTACCCCTACACTTTATATGTGCACACACGAAGTATAAAACCCGTTAACATATTATAGAAATTAATTTATTTAGAAACAAGTTAAGCTGAGTTCATGAAGAGCGGTATAAATTTTGATGCCATTAATGATGATATATTGATACTGCTGTTAAATGTATCATATAATTATCAGGTAATTTCCAAAATATACAAACTCTATGTTTAAGCTAACTTTGAAGTATATTTTTGACTTCAATGTTTTTCTTTATGGATGGAAGTGTAATTACTGACTTTGAAATTATCTAGCTTGCCTTAAAGTCAGGGTATTTGTAAAAACTCTCTTCATACTCGAGCACGATTAGTCATCATTATAAAGTAAAACTATTTAAAAACTTCAGAAGTCAGAACGAGTCAGAAGCAGCTATAAGTAAAGGAAAACCAGAAAAAAACTCCACCAAACCAATTATTAATTATCTACTTTCCGAAACAAATTATGCTCTCAAAAAAAAAAAGGTGTGGCCTAATAATTAGCGTGCACAGAGAGTGAATCTAAAAATTGATGTTTCGCGTTCTGTTATCATAAAAACGCGCTCCGCACTTTGGGATCGTGAGTGCACAATAAAAAAAAAAGAGTCAAATCCCACTATTCTGTGGGGTAAATATAGCCACAATGGTAGGCGTTGGGAGATTGTTGATTTCCTTTTAATATATCAGTCCGAAACTACGAACGGCTATGCTTCTTTGTGTAACTTTGTGCGAAAATCTTGACACAAAACTACACTCCCTAATTTGTGTAAAATACAAAGACGCCCAGTGATTCATTATCATAGCTATCGCATGCAAATCACTCGAAGTAGCGAATAGCATAATGTTAATAAATATATAGCTTGAGTTACAGCAACTTAAGTTACGACATAACCACGTTTCCTGTAGCTTTTTGACACATGATATAATACATGTAGCGAGTAACTGTAACTAGGTTGGATTTTATTGTGACAATATTGTCGTACAATAGTAACCCTTCTTATTGTTATTACCAGAAATTTATATAGCAGTAAGGTATTTTTTAACAAATCTTATCAAAATCCTTTCTTATGAAATATCTAACGAAAAACCAAAATTGATTTTACATGCGTGTGTGTGTGTGTATATATATATTATTACTGGAATAATCAAATCTTTCTAAAATGAACTGACCCTATTGAATTAATGTAAGAATAATTTAGCGACTAATCACCGGAATAGATTACTTTTTTACCATACTCGAGAAATTAGGAAAACCTAGAAAGGGCTTAACACTTTATTTGTAAACGTTTAATTACAGTTTTACTCTAGGGTCTCAGTAACATATGACGTTCTGATTGAATATTTGTCGCCATCAAATTAATAAACTAGTTTAAAATAAGTCTAGCCTAATTTCAAAGCAAAACTTTTTAGTTTGAATAACTTTTTATAACAAATGTTTTAATTTATTTTTCATTGTACTGCCACGAACACCAGTGAGACGTACATAGAATCAGGTGCTCTATTATGTTGTAACAGGTAGGTTACAGAAATAAATGCTGTGTTAAAATGTTCATTACACGTTGATTACACTACATTCAATCATATCGTTTATCTTCACTAGTTGTAACTAGATACACATGAAATTACTGATGAGACTTTATTGGCCTAGTAATGCTAGTCCCCAGAAATTTGCATTAAAAGGTACCCTTCTTATTGGTCTCAACATATCCTGTTAGTAAATGAGCAATAAACTAAAGGAGTCAACAAAAAGCGGATTGGGCTTAATGTGTGCTTTTTCCTTGATTTTTGCATTAGCTCTTTTTTTTTTAACTGTGAGTTGAGACTGATAGGACATTTTAAACATTGGCTGTTGTAAACAAACTGCTTAGCAAAAAATGAGTTAGCTTTTTCACATTGAACTAAAGCTTTCGTTAAATAGAGAAAAAACCTTTTTAATAGACTTGGTAGTAATAGGAACACAACTTTTTGCTGAGGCTCTTCTGGCCGGTAAGACTAAATTCTGCAAAACGTTTTCATTAAAATGTCTATTTTGATTTTTGAGTTCAAAGTTTAATTACTATTCGGTTACTAAGTTAAGTTGTTACGCAATTATTAAATTCAAATGTTATGTAGCCATTAAGTTTAGTTGTTACTTAGTTACCAGCTTTAATTGTTACGTAGTTACTAAGATTAATTGTTATGTAGCTACTAAGTTTAGTTGTTACGTAGTTACTAACTTTAATTGTTATTTAGCTACTAAGACTGGTCGCTATTCGGTAACACAGTTTATTACTTAATTAACAAGTTTTATTTTTGTTTAGTTATGAAGTTAAAGTAATGTTACGTAATAACTCCTAAACTGTATTAATACTATTAGTATTTAGTATTAATAATACTAAATCAGACCACTGTGACGTTCTTATTATTTATAAAAATGAAATTCTAAATACATTTTGTATATATTATTCTCAAAGAACAGTTTTAATGCCTAAAGTAAGTTAGTTTATAAAATTTACATCTAGGTAGACTTCGTACAATTTTCTATAAAACATTAACTCCATGTCGAGATATAACAACACAGAGTAATAAAATAAAATCCAAATATAATTGTTATCAGGATTGAGAAAGTCTTCAAAAATAAGAATAAGTATAAAATGGATTTCCTGAGCACGAGATGGCGCCCTATTTGCGTACTGATTTTCAATATTTCATACATACTGGTATGGAGATATAAAAAAATCAAAATTGACTATTTTCTTCGTAAATGAGGCGTAGAAGAAATATTAAGGATAGAACCTTTCAATATTGATAATATAAGGAGAAATAATAAAACGATATTTTTGCAACTAAAGAGTAGTCTTCTCGCTAAATATAGAAATTCGGCAAATACCTAATAGAATCTATCTATTTATTATTAATATTTTACTTTACTTTAATATTCTTAATGCTATGATCAAATGTTAAGGCTTTGAGAAAGCCATAAAGTAAAAAAAAAGTAAAAATAAAAACTGTTCGACTAACTTATCATTTAGCTATGTTGATTATTAAATACCAAAGAGGCCTCTTGAACAACACATAACAACGTATAAATAAAGTGCTATCTGGTGAACATAAAACATTTGTATATATTTGTTACGTTTTTCTAATATTACAATATAAAGTTATTGCTCTCATATTCATTTGAAATTAACGTGTGGTGTAAAATGCTCTTTTCGATATAAAGCACGGTTGATTATGTGGATATAAATTTCACAAAACTTCTACTGGATGTATTGACGGGACTTCTAAGTTTAAAATAATCATATAGGGAATACTTCTTCAGTTCAGATATTATAACGGTGGATCTTGTAAGTATCGCAAACAAAATATTAAGAAGAAATGTTCTAAAGTATTAGTTTAGTTCTAATAACTGAATAATCAAATTAGTAAAACATCTTACTATGATTTTAGAAGAAAATTGAGCCAGTTATTCGTATAAGAATAGCTCTTTTATCAGTTTCTTTGAAATAGTAAAATTATGTTTACATATCAACAGTTGTTAGAAAATAGGCATTTTTTTCTAGCCAAACCTTTCTGTCTTCGAAACCTCTTGACATGAACAAAGATGACGACACACAATAAAATAAGAAGTAGCAGCATCACAAAGCTGAGAACGGCACCTAGAAGTGGTCTAAATGCTGAGGTGGCAGAACGACCTGAAAGAAACGAACACGTTATTGCAAAGATGATTGAAGAAAAGAGTACGAACAACAGAGATTATCTCAAAAAACTGACAACAAATACGAATACAGACTACTTCAATCGTTCTCTTTAAAATCTGTTTGTAATTTAAAAGCCCACAAAACATGCAAAAAGACTCATGACCTCCCCCCCCCTCCACTGACAAACAACAAACAAAACAAACACAGAAAGGAGCGAGTCAAAAACTTCTGTAACTTAAGTCAACAACCAACCCGAAACTATGTTCCTTTTAATACATAATATTCTGAAATAATTGATGATTAATCAGTAGATGACAGTGTTATATGACGTGCGTGTCTAATAGTATTTATTTGAAAAACAACTAGCTGTCAGTAGTTAGAGCGTGTGTTCAGATATACGCGCTGATTCAGGCAATAGGGGAGGAGGTACAGATGATGACGTCATAGTTTCACGACGTGGAATCAAAGGATGCGTTGCTAAGCCGCCATGACACTTGACAACGGAAGTTGTCTGCTGATAGAGAGCGTATTGCTAGGAGATATCACTACATGACATCATAGTTCCAGTGTTACTCAAGAAAGAGTGTGTTGCTAGGCCATGAAGTGGTCACAAGAGTGTGCATTACTGGGAGTGGATATTGTTACCAAGGTTCTATAGGCGGATGGTGGTATTGTGTGTATTTTACAAAGATGGCTGGTGTTACTAGGCATACTGTGTGTGTTTTACAAAGGTGGTTGGTGTTACTAGGCATACTGTGTGTGTTTTACAAAGATGGTTGGTGTTACTAGGTGGATTGTGTTACTAAGGTTCTATAGGTAGATGATTTTGTTAAGGATAATGGTGCTAGGGTCGATGGTGTTTCTATAATAGGATATATCGATAGGATGATCAGCTCATTGTAGGTTGTCTCAATGTGTCTCAATATGTGATTACATCATCAACATTGTAGTCTAGATTTGATTGTATGTCCTAAAAAGTTACAAGTAATGTTAATGATTTAACGAGACAACTATTATAACATAGTGTATTATGAAATTATTGTATATTATTTAGAGATTTAAATAAGTGTCCTTGTCAGTGCAAATATATGTTGTAAAATATATTAATTATGGAAATGAATTAGAACTAAGGGTTTTACATATAGAACATCAGAAATGAAAATGGTACGTATCACAAATTAAATATAGACGCAAAAAGTATAATCATTATGTTAAATCGATACTTAAAAACACAATTGGCTAGCTGTTTCATTCATTATTTATAAAAATGATATATTATGTATGATGAATTTTTTCTGGACAGATAATTGTAAAAGTATATGAAGTAAATTATTGACTATAATAGAACCTTAGTATCACTGTCCGCCTATATAACCTTGGTCACACAGTCCGCTTATAGAACCTTGATAACAGCTCTATCAACAGAACTGATAACCATTCAGAGTGACACTACAAAGTTCAAATCCCTTACAACAGATATACTCTTCCTAACCAATCGAAGGGAAGATAAATTACAACACATTATGTATGATACAGTTCTTCCAGGGCAGATAATTATAAACGTATGTAAAATAAATTAGTGACTGTAATACTTACCTCGTTCAAATAATGGATACATTAAGACAGTATAACAGATAAGAACTGATATTTTGAAAGATAAAGGAGAAGTTTGGATTCGTCCGTCAGTTTTATGGAAAGGAAAGCATTACTTGTTTTAGTTTTAGGCGAACATGTCACTTGGTCTTACACCAGAGGTCAAGCTTTCTCAACTTCTGATATACTCTTCCTAATCATTCAAAGAGAAGAAAAATTACAACGCTTGCTTAGGGACTTAAAAAACAAAAACGGTATTACTGACAATGCGTTCAACCAATAATATCTTTGTGGATCGCGACCTGGTACAAAACATGGCCTCTAGGCCCTATTCGTTCAGTAATCAGAAAGCACAGTTACAAAGCAGTCAAATTCCTTGTACCTATTCTTAAACTATTAACATTTAATGAATTTACTGTCCTGGGCTCGTTTTAAATTTGTTAATGAGTTAAGAGATTTAAACCCTCTCAATGAATTTTTGATGGCTAGCTTTGATATAACTTCTTTATTCAAGAACATTTTATTGGATGCGACCATCGACATTTGTTTGGAAAACCTCTTTCAAGAGGAATTTCTTGTTCATGGTTTAACTAAGGAAAAAGTTAGATCTTTAATAATTCACTCTATAAAGAACAACCATTTTGTAATTAACGGAAAACTATATGACAAAATGGATGGCGTGGTTATGGGATTCTCACTAGGATCAACTCTAGCTAACATTTTTTCTGCGCTATCACGAACAAAATAGGTTGAAAAACGGCCCAAAGAAACTCAAACCAACGTTGATGACAGTTTCATCATATTTCGATCAGAGGATGAAGTTCAACAGTTTCTTAAGTATTTAAAATCGCAACACTCGTTTACCTATGAAATTGGAGAAAAGAATACTTTGACTGATCACTCGAGATGTTCATAGTTTTTTAACGTCAATATATCGAAAGAAAACGTTCAGGGGACAGCTTACCCAGTTTGATAGTTTCATTCCTGTAAAGTATAAGATCAACTTAGTAACATGTCTACTGCCTTTAAAATTTAATTTTACACTCTGAGATTGGTTTTCTTCATGAAATATTATTGTATAATGGATACCCTAAAAAAATGATTAAAAGCCTAATCAGGATATTTTTGAACAAAAGATTTAAAACTCCCCTTAAAAATGTTCGCAGTTTTATTGACCATTCCTTACCTGGGACAAAACAAAAGTGTTATACTTTCTAAACAGCTTCAATCTTTAATAAGAAAGTTCTACCCACAAGTCAAACTTAACAACCTTTTTCAAACCATCCTTTAGGTTAAATCATCTCTTTAACACAAAGGATTGTCTACCTATCTCTCTTCACTCATGGATTGTATACAAATACACGTGCGGTGACTGTAAGACCGCCTATATCCGGAAAGCTAAACGACATTTTGCTGTTCGTATCCACGAGCACATTGGGAATATCAATGAGGCCAGGTAACATCTAGTCCACCTACTTCGGCAATTCGGAATCACAGACATGAAACTGGACATCTGATAACTCACTCAAGATTCACCATTCTTTGTAATGGTAATTCCGACCTCGAACTGTTAATCAAAGAAAGTCTATCCACAAATCTAATGTTGCTGTTTTAAAATATAACACAGTCCTCTTACACGTTTAATTTGTTTAAAGTAACTTTTACTATAAAATGAATTTATAATAAACCACTTTATAAATAGAATGTTTATAAAAATATAAGTGAAGGTTTTTGAATACTATTTCTTCGCTCCATTGTTTGTAAATAGTCAATAATACTGTTGGTCAATTTTATTGTTGTTCTCCCTTCACGCGATTATAACATTATTTTAATCTTGTATATTCTAATGTGTCAAATTATCTCAATTTTCTCTTGCGTAAAGATGATCGAAGTAGAGTGTCGAAACCTTGCATGGTCATATATATATATATGTATTCTCTGTAAGAAATTGTGTCTAATGAATTTATTTTTTACAGTTTGTTTTCTGCTAAACACATTGAGGTAATTGTGCTGTGCCCACCACGAGTATTGAAACTCAATTTTTAGCGTAATAACACTTCAGATTTGCCGCTGAGCCAGCCATTAGGTGGCATGTCTTTTATAAGCCGACGTAAAATACATATACCAAAACACAAAGATATGTTTTATTTATTATATCTTTTTAATATAATCTTGGGTATTCAGCGACTTTGGATTAGTCAAATTGGAACCTATTAACTAACACTTCTAAAACTGGATACTCAACTATCAACAATTTTGGTAGAAGAGTCTTGATTATAATAATATATAATGTTAAATATATAATATAATAATAATGTTAAATAGCGTAACAAATGAGCAATTACACGACATTTTATTCTCTCATTGATACTGTAAATCATCGCCGTTACAACTATTGTGCTATCGATGACGTATTCGCACAAAACAAATAATCAGTAAGTCACTAATTAAAGTTTTACATAAATGGCATAAAAAGAAAAGAAGTTATAAAAGTAAACATATTTAAAGAATGGGCAAAGAGAGATGAAAACGTAATCCATTAACGCGTAACATATCTAAAGAAATTCATTATTAACAACGAATTAACAAGTTACAAGAAGTTATCAAATATTTAAATTCTTTAAACAATAGGTAAAGTTATCGTACTTTGTTTTTATTTGAAATCTATATATCTTCCCACTAGGATTTAGCCAACAAATGTTAAAACCTTCAGGTAACGAACGAGGTGTATAAAAACCGATGATGAAAGTATCATACAGAAACACATCACAGTTTTATCAGACTTTAGTGTACATTGTTTTAAATCATAAAACATCATACAAGTATAGGTTTATTACCAGTGCTAAACAAAGCTACGAACGCATTTGAAATATATTTTAAAAAAGCATTTAATTAAATACAACAATATTACCAAAGAAAAAACTGTTATTCATTCGTGCATTATCCCATTGAATGTAAAGACGAAATTACAGATTTTATGACAAAAGCTTCTAAAACTTTGATTTTAGTGATCTTTACATTAGCTTTCCTATTGATAACATTAAAAAGAATATTTTATTAGCAGTTTGAATATATATTAAGAATTTTGTCAAACTGATCCTATGTGTTAGTAAACAGTAGGTAGAGGTAGTAACTATAGCTGATCCTATGTGTTAGTAAACAGCAGGTAGAGGTAGTAACTATTGCTGATCCCATGTGTTAGTAAACAGTAGGTAGAGGTAGTAACTATTGCTGATCCTATGTGTTAGTAAACAGTAGGTAGAGGTAGTAACTATTGCTGATCCTATGTGTTAGTAAACAGTAGGTAGAGGTAGTAACTATTGCTGATCCTATGTGTTAGTAAACAGTAGGTAGAGGTAGTAACTATTGCTGATCCTATGTGTTAGTAAACAGTAGGGAGG